AGCCCCCCCCCCACGCCACAGCTGTGCCCCTGTTCTCTGGCCTGCCCTCCCAGCCCAGCTCTGCCCAAGCCATGCCATGCCTCCTGCGGGCCTCAGCTCAGGCACCCACAGGGGGCCTCCCCGACCCCTCGCCCTGCCCGCCAGCGTGCGCTGTGCACTCCCAAATGACAGGCCAAGAGGGCGGACGCAGGCCGGGCACACCGGCTCCTGTGGCTCCTCTAGAACCACAACGCCCTCTGGGGAGAGGCCAGAGCCCATCGTCAGCGTCCGGCAGAACTTCCCCGAAGACCCCAGAGGGACAGAGAGATTTGGGGCTGGGGAGGGAGAACAGAGGGAGGCACCTGAGGAAATTTCCGGAAAAGGCTCAGGGAGCCGTGAGAGGCGAGCGAGAGAGCAGAGGGAGCCAGTGTCTGCGCCTCCCGCCTGCTGGTCCCCGCAGGCCTTCCTCTCCCACGCCTCTCCGTGCTCCCGCCCGTCCTCTCCCACGCCTCTCCGTGCTCCCGCCCAGGGCCAGGAGCTTCATTTACAGCAGCCGTCGGCAACCGGTGGTCCGTGAGGTCCGAAAGGTTGGCGGCCGCTGGTTTACAGAACCGGGAAATGCTACTGCCTCAGGGGTTTCAGTGAGAATTAAGTAAGAAGCTGGCCCTGGCCGGTGTGGTTCAATGAATAGAGCGTCAGCCTGCAGACTGAAGGGTCCCGGGTTCAATTCTGGTCAAAGGCACATGCCAGGGTTGTGGGCTCGGTCCCCGGTAGGGGGCATGCAGGAGGCAGTGATCAACGATTCTCTCATCGTTGATATTTCTATCTCTCTCTCCCTCTCCCTTCCTCTCTGAAATCAATAAAAATATATATTTTTTAAAAAAGAAGCTAGACAGGACAGTTTCCTAGCCAGCGCACCTTGAATGGACAGGTGTGGCTTGTAATCCATTCAGGTGACCAGGGGTTGGGCCAGTGGTCTTATCCACTTACCCAGTGTTTTCAGCGGCCCTCCGGCCTGGGCACACCTCCCGCCCATTTCACAGATGAGGGGCGGAGGGGATCCCCGCTGGAGAGCGCGCATCTGTCTCACTTGTAGGTGTGGGAAGCGCTCACCTGCTCCTCTCCCCGCCGCCGTCCACGTCCACCACGTTCCACATGACGCAGGAGTCGTCGGAAATCACGATGAACGGCCAGATGTCCTGAGGCTTGATCCCCAGCTCCTCCTGCCGGTTCCGCTCCAGCTCCAGGTTGTGGTAGGACAGCTCCTTGATCAGGAAGGGGCCAAAGAGCCGCGGTTTGCCAACCACGGGTCTAGGACAAAGGACATTTTTCTACCACATGGAAAGATTGGGAAGGCCCTGGCCAGGTGGCTCAGTTGGTTGGAGCATCATCCCACACATCAAAAGGTTGCGGGTTCAATTCCTGATCAGGACACATACCTAGGTTGTGGGCCCCATCACTACTCGGGGTGCATACGGGAGGCACCAGATCCATGTTTCTCTCCCATCAGTGTTTCGTTTGTTTTTGAAAAGACTTTTGATTCTTTTTTAAAAAAAAAGATTTTATTGATTTTTTACAGAGAGGAAGGGAGAGGAATAGAGAGTCAGAAACATCGATGAGGGAGAAACATCCATCAGCTGCCTCCTGCACACTCCCTACTGGGGATGTGCCCGCAACCAAGGTACATGCCCTCGACCAAAATCGAACCTGGGACCCTTCAGTCCGTAGGCTGACGCTTATCCACTGAGCCAAACCGGCGAGGGCTCTTTCTCTCTTTTTCTTACTCTTTATTGTTGAAAGTATTAAATATGTCCCCTTTTATCCCCCATCGACCCCATCCAGCCCACCCCACCCCCGGTCATTTGCCAAGATTACTGACATTCCCGGGCCATGATTCTGGTGACAACAGAATCAAAACGAACGCCTGCCATTTAACTTCACACACATGCTTCTCCCCAGGGTGACACGCTAACATCACTTTTCTGCTCACCAGCAAAAAGCCTGTTGAAACTATGTTGTCTCTGGAGGTTTCTTTCAGCAAACCCTCTAAAAGCAGCAGTGACTCCCATGCAGATCGCCTTGTACATGTTTGATGAACAATACATACA